GAGGGGGGGGGGCGAGAGCCACTGTTCACACGTCACCAACCAGCAGCCACAAGGGGGTGGGGCAGGGACTTTTCCAGAGGATCACTGCAGACACACACACCGTGTGACCCCAACGAGCTGGCCAGAGACAATACATCTGGCAACCTAAATACTGCAGAGACCTTGAGGACATCAAAGGAACTGATCCTGCAGTCTCACCAGCAGTTTAAACAAGCCATCATAAAGGAATTCTGAGTCTGAAAGTCTGAACAGGGACTGATTGCTGCTGATTCTGAACTTCACAACTCAGAATCCAAAGCGGGCACCAGAAGCATTGCCACACATTGCCACAATGCAAAACCCTTCTACAGAAAGCCCCTAGCCAGAAGAGGACAGAGCCATCACCATGGCAACAGACCCAGGTTCCAGACCAACCACTGGGGAAAGGCGTCCTCATCCTGCAAACACCACGGTATGTCCAACACCAGTCCACCACAACATCCTCCTCCACACCCTTCACACAGGTGCTGAACGGAGGCTACACAAGGACAGCTGGACACGCCTACTTCTGGGTTACAGGAGCTGCTACACTCGCAAAAAAAGCTCCTTGAACAAAACTCAACTAAGGAGTACTGAGAAGGACAAACCTCTGACTCCTTGCCTGCTGCAACACAGCATCAGGCCCCTCCAAGGGAGGAGCATCTCTTGAAACCGGTCGACACCCCCAGAAGCAGCCAGACAACGTTGGATTGAGCAACGGGCCCACATGCCCAACAGCGAAAGCTCTACCAACACAACTCAGGCAAGCTCAAGTCGGTGCCGCCACAAGAGCCAAGCGACACCGCAAACATCGGATTTCTAGTGACGTTGAGCAAAGCAGAGAGCTCACAACCATCTGCCGCTTTCCTGCCATCATCACTAGGTCAGTCGGAAATTCTCTACACACTATAGAATCTCCATAACAGTTCTCGGCAATCCCTGGAACCACCTGCACTCTCACCAGTGAGAGTCTAACCCGGCTGTCCCACATCACGTTTACCACAGATAGCCTACTGGCTAACAACATCAACAAAAACATCTTACCCGGACTAACTCACTTCAGGATGACAGGTGACACAGCCTCGACACCTGCTGCATAAGCTCGAGGACCCACACCTTGACTGAAATGGTCAGCCTGCAGTCCAGATCTTTCACCCATAGAAAACATTTGGCGCATCATAAAGAGGAAGATGCGACAAAGAAGACCTAAGACAGTTGAGCAACTAGAAGCCTGTATTAGACAAGAATGGGACAACATTCCTATTCCTAAACTTGAGCAACTTGTCTCCTCAGTCCCCAGACGTTTGCAGACTGTTATAAAAAGAAGAGGGGATGCCACACAGTGGTAAACATGGCCTTGTCCCAACTTTTTTGAGATGTGTTGATGCCATGAAATTTAAAATCAACTTATTTTTCCCTTAAAATGATACATTTTCTCAGTTTAAACATTTGATATGTCATCTATGTTGTATTCTGAATAAAATATTGAAATTTGAAACTTCCACATCATTGCATTCTGTTTTTATTCACAATTTGTACAGTGTCCCAACTTTTTTGGAATCGGGTTTGTAATATGTTGATGCATGCTAGAGTTCAGCACAACAATAAAAAGAGATAAAAGAGAATTTTTCAACTTTTAAAGATTTAACTTTTCTACTTTTTGGCAATTTGAAAATTCCCTTATTTTTTCAGGTTTTCCATGTACACGATATCCGTCAAAAAAGATCGCTCTCTCTCTTACACGTTCTCCTTTTTTAGACTATATGATTGATTTGTAATCCTGCTATTTCGTTTATTTGTAAGACATTTTACAAAGTCTTGTTTTTTTCAAACGTAACCATTGTGCAGAATGGAATAATCATTACCTGAGTCTGTTTAGATTATCAGACCAAAAATAAACCAATTGTGGTTTATGGGACTTGACGTAGGAGCATGAAAGATCGAATGTGATTGATCCAAACTATTCATCCATGGGGAAAGCGAAAGGAACAGATGTGACTAATAATTAAAGCACTCAATAATCAATGACTTCAACCAAAACAATTAACGTTGATTTCACCATCTGAGCCCAGACTCATTACTGTGAGAGACGGCCCCTAACAGCTCACATGAATAAATGAATAACACAAGCGCACTTCAGAGCATCGGGCTATTTTTCTCAGG